CGGACAAAACGGCACGAATGGCGTAGAGATGCAGGAGGAAGACGGCGTCCCAGTTGGTTCACGACGATTACATGAAATGCGTCAACACCTCCTCATACTAGCAGAAAGTTCGCAGGGATTCGTACGTCACTGTGGCGAGCGTGATTTCGGCGAGTGGACAGTCGATTTCGAACCGCTTGTACAGCATTTGAAATTCCTCGAGCTTGATACCATCATCGAAAATCGATTTGGCCGTCAGGGACTGCGTCTCACTCGGATCCTTAGGGAGAAGGGTAAACTCGACGACAAGACATTGCCTGGTCTGGCCCTTATGAAGAAGCCAGACGTGCATGTCAAGATGGCAGAGATGGAAATGGCAGGATTTCTTGACGTGCAAGAGGTGCCGCGAGACAACAATCGAGCAGCCGCTCGAACGATCTTCTTCTGGTTCTTCGATCTCGATAGGACATTGCAACGAATACTGGACAACACATATAAATCCATGGTACGCTGCTTTCAGCGATTAGAAGTCGAGCGTCAGAAGAAAAAGAGCGTGCTCGAGTTGGCCGAGCGAAAGGACGTGCAGGGCGTTGAGGAGGATAGGCTCAGGGGTGACGTATATAACGAGTACATTCAGTTACTCGACATCGAGAAGAAGCTGCTCGGCCAGGTTGCGAAACTTGACGACATTGTATCTGTCTTTAGGGATTTTTGAGTTTCATTCTCCCATATGATACCAGGGTTGGAGGGAAAAGTTGCATTTGCATCGGCGGCGTTAATTGACGGAGGTCTGGCCCGAGGGCTTAAAAGTGTGTTTACATGTTTTACATTGAAGAGTCGACTAGCCATCGATTCCGAGCTGCGTGATGTGGGATCACATCGTGGATTCCATGCCCCTGATAGGTGACATGTGTATTTATAATTGGTTGGAATAAGAAGCTTTCTAATTGCTATGGCTTTAGCTATAGTCATATTCAAATCCTGCGAATCGTTCTAATTCACTCTACGTCCATAAATCTGGATGATTTATGTGCATCCCCCTCCCCCCCCCTATCCTGCCTTGCTTCCGTAACTTACAGGCAGCCCGCGTAGCTTCTTTGAGGGGTAGGTGCCTGTGCGGATCCTTATCACTGTCCAGGTGGGATGATAAGCTCGGATCATCCCTAGGCAGCTAGGTACTAATACCTATATGACCCCTGAAGCTTCCCCAAGCTCCCCGCTATTTTATCTAGTGTGGTGCTAGAATTCGTCGCAAATATCTGTATTTTGGGGGGGGATTTTTTTTTTTCATAAATCTCCGGCGCGATTGAAATTTTACTCTTGTGCGTTTTCATCCGCCGAGTCCGCAGTCCTAGATATCCTCGCAGCTCGTCCTTGAAGCTCAAGACAATACTTATAGTCTTACAAACCGTCGAATCTAGGTGACCAGATAAATTATTTTCTAATAATATAGAAATATCACACGGAATCATCCCGCATACATAGCAATTCGCTATGGCGCCTATGGTCACTGGCAAAGAGCGCGAGTCGAATCTCGCTCGACTCCTCGGTTCCGGTAGGCGCACATATATATTCTCAGTGTCAAGCGTAACATATAGGTAGCTAATCAAATTGAATACAGGTTCTGCTGGTATTGCCGAACTGGCTGTCTTTCATCCCGTGCGTGCAGATACATCTCGAGCCATTACGTCGCAACACTAATAGATCTCAAGGTCGACACTATCGCGAAGCGGTTAATGAGCAACCAGACAAAGGTGTGAGCCACCAAAATGTGAACGTCCAATAGCATACAATATTAATTGTGGTATAGATCAGGAGTTCTAGCGAGCTGAACAAGGTTATCTTCAAAGAGAAGGCAGAGGCACCGTTTGGTCGCAAATTCTTTTCCCTCTTTCCGGGCTTGGGCTACGCTGCAGGATACAAGGTCAGACATACTCCCGTACCTCATGCTATATGGATAGTATGTGGAAGGGTAAATGACTAAATATCCAATTTAGGTTTCCCAAAGAATATACAAGTATGGTGGCCAGCCAATTGCTCGGGATTACCTCGCAGCGCACTACGGCAAGGACTTCGAGAGCGCATTCGGAAAGAAGACCGGAAAGGCAATTATGCACTCGACTGCCGGAAGGTAAGCTTCGAAACAGATCACTCCTGTCTGGCGGACTTATTGATTAATGTATCCTAGTCTGATCGGCATCGGCGAGATTGTCCTGCTTCCTCTAGACGTACTCAAGATCAAGCGTCAAACGAACCCAGACGCATTCCGGGGACGTGGTATTTTCAAAATCATCGCCGACGAAGGCTTCGGGCTATACAGAGGTTGGGGATGGACTGCGGCCCGAAATGCTCCTGGGTCTTTCGCGGTATGGCCAACTCCGTGCGGGAAACTTGTGCTTGACTAACATTGGGCAGCTTTTCGGTGGCTCGGCCTTCACCAAAGAATATGTCTTCGGATTGAACGACTACAACAAGGCATCGTGGTTCCAAAATTTCATCGCTTCCATCGCCGGTGCCTCGGCTTCTTTGGTCGTTTCCGCCCCCTTAGACGTCATCAAGACTCGTATTCAGAACAGGAATTTTGAGAACCCCGAGAGCGGTTTCCGAATCTTGTCCAATATGGCCAAGAACGAAGGATTCTCTAGTTTCTTCAAGGGATTAGTACCCAAGGTAAGCGTCTCATATTATTCTGCGCGGAGCTTTTTTGCTGATACTTGATAGCTTCTCATGACTGGACCGAAGTTGGTGTTCTCTTTCTGGCTTGCCCAGACCTTGATCCCAGCGTTCGACACGCTGATGAAATAGAATGCCCTCCGGGGCGCGTATGACTTGTTTGGGACCCATGTATGTGTAATGATAGATCTAGGCGCCGATAGTCCGCTACATGTATATATGACGGAGCCGGCGTTTTTCGGTCGTGGGACTTATTAGATGTGAATAGTTGGAAAAAGAAAACTCGACTCTAATGCAAAAAATTTAAGAGCATTTTGATTGCTTGAGGTAATCTGTCACTGGATCATGTATCTGGCAGGTCAAGAAATAGCAAGACATCCGTGTAGTTTTATTCTCATTCCCAAATTTGATGCATCCAACCCCTAAATGCATAACATAGCTCTTTACTTATAAGATTCTCTCCTGCCTTCACTTCCAAACTCGGAGCGATTGATGATTCGCTACGGGTAGGTATATCGTGTATTTGAACTTAACCCCTCCCCTTTTTTGTAATCCATAACACCTAACCTACTAGGTGGTCACAATAAGAGCCACGACAACACAAGATTATAAGTTCACAATACTAGATTTGCGATTCTCCAAAACTTCCTAGGTTGGCCGTCATTGCGTATGCTTTTTTCCTTCATAAAAAAAAAGTTCTCCCGCCAAATCCCAAATCAGGATCCTTTCTTTGTCTTGGTTTTTTTATTATATTGAAAATATCCGGCGATTATCCGACTTGAATACAATTAGCGCAGGAAAACTTCAGTCATAAAGCAACCTATTGATCCTATTTCAACATGGTCCGTTGGCCCAATGGTAAGGCGTCTGACTACGACTACGAGTCATGTAGCATAACAGGTAATCAGGAGATTCTGGGTTCGACCCCCAGGCGGACCTTTTTTTGGACCTTTTTTTTGCACCAACTGAATCAATATGAAATTGTTTCCTTTTGCAAGGGTGGATGGACTGCACGATTTGGAGGGATTTGCTCAAATTTCGACCTGCGCCATTTTATTTCGTTAGTAGCGTCCATTTCGGAATTTCGGAGAGTGTTCTTTTTACCTTCCCCAAGAATGATCAAGCCTGAAGGAAACTAAAACGAAACGATGTAGGTTTTTACCAATTACGAAAAATCAAATGCTTCGAGGAAATAGATAGATAAAACTAGGATAGTAATACCTACCAAATCATTTCGAGACAATGTCTAGGTTAGGACTCTAGGTACTGAGTCTACTAAAACCTACCTGTGTAACCAAACGACTACTTATGTGGTAACACGGTGGGAAACAGCCTGGAGGACAATTAGAATACCTATCAAGAATGAAAAGTTCGCCCCTGGAAATATGTAAGTTAAGTTGGCATGTGACTGACATTGCAATGAGTGATGAATGAGTCTTCTCAAACTTGCCTAGGTACTTTATGAACCATTTTTGGGTAGATAATGTAAAAAAGCGCACTTTCGCCCTTAATAACTGTTCTTAAACGTGGAAAGAAATGAACTCTTTGAAACTTGGTCTGGAGTATCATCGTATAACGAGTTTAGTTGAAACTAGAGATCAACCAACATAGGTACCTTTATTCTCCATAAATGTTTTCGCAAGAGGTCGATGATCTATGATTTTTGATATTAAGATTGTTTCTTTATATCTCCTTAAGGCTTAGGTACTAGGTAGGTAGTAGACAATCTATATCTTTATGAATCTCATTACTTGAAGTTAAGTGATATAAAGCCATTTTAGTACCAGTCCCATGAATCATGATTACCTAGCTAAAATGTGTCACTTTTTGCCCACGTAGCTTGAGAGCAAGGATGGGGAGTGATATCTTCTATGTATCCTGTTCATATTGGATCATTCTTCGGTCTCTCATTTCGTGATGCGTACTCAAGCCTCGCGTCTCGCGTAGGTTACCTCCAACTACTAGGTAGCAGCCACTTGTTCGATATCGACCAAACACCGGAACTTATCTAACCAAGCTAGACATCGTCAACAGTGGATGGATGTATATGCTTTTGCAAGGCAGGAGAATAGATGAATGACATATGAACTGTCCTAAACCTCGTCTTTAAGTCCATCCTACAATAATAAGATAGGTAAAAATACCTCAATAACACCAAGTGTCAACTCGATGAGCTAGGTGAAAGTTTATTCTTACATGCATGCACAGTACAAATTGGCTTGCAGTAAATTCCCGTGGTGGTTGGGATATCTATCCATATTATTGTAACTCTGACGCTTTAAGTAAAATCTAAAAGGAAAGATTACCTGCAAATGGAAATTTTATTCCAAGAAAAATCGTAAAAATGTAGGTCCGCCTGGGGGTCGAACCCAGAATCTCCTGATTACCTGTTATGCTACGAGGCTCGTAGTCGTAGTCAGACGCCTTACCATTGGGCCAACGGACCGATGTTCGAGTTGCTTGTTATACTCGCATATGATCGTTGCCACTATCTGTGACTTGGAGATTTTTAGCGCATTTGTTCATGCACACTACATAATACCTGTATTACTACTTGTGGTAAACAGTATGAGTTTATAACAAAGCACCGTGTTGCGGTTTTGAGTGATATACATAGATCTTGAGAGGTACATAGGTCTAGGATAGGTGGGGTTTCGATGAAGACATTCAATCTATGAGGCAAGATAATGTGCACAGTGTCATTTGCAGGCATGTAATCTTCCATTCTTATCTTACGGAGGTGATATAGGATGACTTCCTGTATCACTTGATATCGGATTCCGAGTTCTTCTCCGTATAGGTATAGTTTGCACGGGGTTCCGGATCAGGACCCGGCAATGCGTTCGGAAGGTGAGAGGGCTATTGGACGCACGGGAAACCCTGGTCCCTGGCAGACATCGGATGATCTGATTGTTGACTCCAGGTCCCTCCTTGGAAATACATAGGTAATGCATGAAACGGCCGTCACGACGGTTACTTGTAAACTCTTCACCTCTATTATAGAACTACTAGGTATAGAAGCATTGTTTACCTAGCAGTACGTTCGTAGATCGTTGATTCGACATCTTGAAACTAGCAAATTTGAAAACATACAATACTCCCAGACGGTTCTTGAGACAATAGACATGGCACCATGTTTTTTCGGAAATATTAATCTAAATAAGATCCCCAGGGGATATGGGACGCACGTGGGGGAATGTCTTGAAAGTGGGCTTCCCACGAGCCACAATTTTATGGTATGTGCGTATTGAGATTTTTGTAAACAATTCGATAATGTAGCAGTAGCGGGATTGATTCTGGAAGCTAACGGGGACGGTGATGTGGTAGAATATGTGTGGTAGATGTGGATGAATAATTTATTGATATTATTATACTTTAAATACGGAGTATGGTGACAATGGTGATGAACCGCAGGGCAAAGATGTGACGAGAATTGGAAAATTGAAAGTGATCAAAATAATAAGATAAAATACAAGGACCGGCGGCAAGGTACACTGGTACCAATACATGAGTACTTAGGACCTAGGTCTTTGCTGGGTCTCGATGGGTCTCGCTAAGTGGTTGCGTATTTTGATCCGTGCTTCTGTTGCTGGGGCAGCAACGTTGTGACGTTGCAGATCAATAAAACTTGTTTGGGATTGGGCAGGAGCTCGATTGTTTGTCCACATAGTCCCACACAAGAAAGTACGCAAGAGCGGGACAGCCGTGCAAAATAACAATAGCAGCTAGCACAACCAGCTCGGGGTGCGAACAGAGCAGCAGGTGCTATCCGTAGTCACATATTACCAGGAACCTTCTTAGATGAACCCCCATGCTCCGTTTTTTTTTCCTGTCTAATCTTCAAACCCGTCGTCCATCTTTATGTATCAATCATATCCATCATACCCATCATACCCATCATACCCATCCATATCCATCATATCCGTCATCTCTATCGTCAATCCCACTCTCAACCTGACGGTCATATCTGACTGATCAAACATTAAACAAAAACACCAATTATTCCAATACCCATTTCCAACATTCCCACTTGGACGGGATTAGCTTAGGCTAGTTATTTACCACGCAATTGCTACATATCTCACTTAGTGATACGGCTTTCTAGCCGCATCGCAAATTCGCAACATCGAGACATATCATTCCATCCCTCAAACAGAACCGACAGCAACATTAGATCATGGCGCCGGTCGAGCGTGACGCACCGGTCGACCGGCCTCTAAGACATCAACATTCTTCTTCAATCGGAGCTATCGTCCCGATGTATGTTTTCTCTATTTTGTTTTCTATCGCATCTGTTCAGCAATGTGGCTGTATCGTAGACTTACCAAGAGTTCTAGGTGGGACAGTTCTGACCCGGAGCGGGCGCCACCCCCTCTGCCGTTGAACCCTCAGTCGCCTGGTGTAGGCCCGTCGCGAAGTGGCACATCGCTAGCTATTCAATCTGCGCACGCCGCCTTGACCGAGAAGGCGCGCGAGCATGCACTCGTCCCCTCGCTCGCAAAACGTATGAACGACACATCACCTGAGCGCGCCCTAGTCCAAAGAGCGGGGAGCCCTCATAAACGAATGCAGTCTGTGCAGCCAGGCAGCGTTAGAGACCTTAGTCTGATGATCGAAGGCGCAAGGGATCGCGACTCTGCGAGCTCAACCCCTCGAGGCTCACCAGAAAAAGATAGATCCGCAAGGTCACAAACAAGACCACAAACACCAACTCGTGGCAGAGAGTACGACAGAGACTCGAGATCGGCTGAGAAGGAGAACACCGCTCCCGGCACACCTACACCCATGGCGCCGAATTTGAGCTCCATGGTTCGCCCCTCCGGGAGGAAGCCACCGCAGAGCATCCTTGGTGAGAACACACCACCGCAATCTGCCACCATGTTGGCGTTGCAAAACATGCCTTCCGTATCATCTCGAGACACGGAATCTCCATTGGCAACTGTTACAAACAACTCTGCCCCTATGATGCGGCCGCACCCCTCCACAGAACATCTCTCAAACCAGTTGCTCACCCTGACCAACATCGCGACCGCCCTCCAGAAAGAAATGTCTCAACTCAGCCGCCGAAGTCGAGACAATGCTACCGACTTGATGAGCCTCAAAGAGGCTACACACGCCAGAGATGAAGACATTCGAAAAAGTCTGCGTGAACTGGCACTGAATTCTAACTCGGAAACATCTCGGTATCATCGAGACACCTATACTGGTGGGCTATACCTTGACAATAAACCGTTCAATAGTATGTCACCCGGACCGGGGAAGATGGGAAGACCAATCTCGCTCCCTAGGATCCCGTCACCGAATAGTTTCGCGGCCTCCATTGATCGAGAGTCTATCTTGAGCACACCGTCCCTCGTCGGTGGCGAATCGTCGCCTGCCACGATGGCACTACTCGAAAAGATCATCAGAGATATGGGTACAAAAGATGGCCAAGACTCAATTGTCGGTCGGCTGTCCGAGTTAGCCGACAGGCTATCTGGCATGGCTTCAGCTGATAAAGTGGAAGAGCTTATCCACCACCTGAAAACATCTAGCGAGCTCTTGCCTCACCCCACAAATGGTGGCCGGCTGGACAAGGCCAGATCGATGAGTTTCAGTAGTGATGATTCTGGATCCAAAATCAGCGGTGTGGTGAACCACCGGGTCGAGAAATTGATGAACGGGAAAGATAATCGCAGACCGTCAGTTACAACACGAGTGAATGACGCCTTGAACGATGATATTACCAAGGCAATTCGTGCCGTTAAAGACAGCGTCGCGCAAGCAGGAGGCATGACAGCCGAGGTTAAGGCCCTTGTTCGAGAGCTTCGGGGTGAGGTTCTTGGGATGGGTAGAGAGATTAGTAGGAAGCTGGATGACTGGCACGGTAAATCCCCCAGCAAAAGCGAAACTGCTAGTCGGGCGGAATTAGCAAGGATTGTGGAGGAAGGCTTGGAACAGATCAGGGTTTACATGGCACACCGTCTTCGGGATCATAGTGTGTCGTCCGAAGTAGAGAAGCCTGCTATTGATTATCAGGAGATCTACAACGCCATGAAGACTGCTTTGAGCGACTCAGAAGCCACACGACACCAGGATCCAAAACTCAGCCGAGATGACGTCATCGAGGCCGTCAAAGATGCTTGGGAGAATTACAAGCCCGAGATCGAGATCCAGCAGATTGGATTAGAGCGGGACGAAGTTCTTGATTGCCTTAGGGAAGGGCTAGAACAGTATGTTCCACGTCCAGATGCCCCGCAAGGCGCTACACGGGATGAGGTGTTCCAGGCCATTGTGGAGGGCCTGAAGCATTTCGTGCCCCCACAAGTTGATGCACCGGCTCGTATCTCTCGGGACGATGTAATTGAGGCTGTTAGGGAGTGTCTTGAGGACTTTGAGTTCCCAATTGTACCCTCGACTAGTGACCTAACTCGAGACGACGTACTGGACGCTGTCAAGGAGGGAATAAACTCTACTCACAGTACCGCACTCGTGCCTCATGGTGGCGAAGAAAATACCGAGATTATGGAGCGCCTTCATGATATTATGCAATATATGCGGGAAGAATTCAAGGCTGTTTCCGAGGAGGCGAAGCAGAATGTTGCTGCAAACGGGCGAGACACGGAGCAAGTCTTGGACGCCACCCGAGATGGTTTTGATCAGCTAAGGACGCATATGGAGAGCTACGTCAACCAAGCTGCCGGTACTTCTCACCACGAGGAGCTTATGGCCAACCTGGAGAATGGCTTTGAGCAACTCCGCGTGCACATGGATGAATTCGTCGAAAAAGTATCAGGAACATCGGGCCAGGAGGAATTAATGGCAAATATTGCCAGCAACCTCGAGCAATTACGGGCGCACGTAGAGAACTCCGCCGACAAAGCCCCTAGTACCTCCAATACCCCAGACCAAGAGGAGCTGATGACAAACCTTACTAGTAATTTCGACCAGCTGCGAGAACACATGGAAGCCTATGTCGATAAAGCCTCCGGCTCTTCGCACCAAGAGGAACTCATGAGCAATGTTGTAAACAGCTTTGACATCTTTAAAGAAGAGGTGTCGGAGCTTGTTGCGAAAGCCTCGGATGGCTCCAGGGACATGATCAGGCAAGAAATTGAGTCGCTTCGAGATACGGTGAACTCTTCACTTGTCCCCCACGTACCGCAGATGAGCGATAATAGAGATGTTCTGGAAGCAATTCGTGACAGCATTGAACGTATACGCGGAGAACTACTCCGTCCCCATGCTGGCACTACGGACATCCTGGACGCCCTACACGAAGGCTTTAGCGATTTGCGACTCAGCATCGAGAAGGTAGCCGACAAGCCAGCTGACCTAACCGCCAACGACGAAATTCTCGATGCACTCAGGTCCGGACTAGACGGTGTTCAAACGAACATCGACTCTCTTCGAGAAACCAACCAGGAGAAAGCTGTCGCCACCGTCGCTCGTGCCGAGGAAATACCA